TACTATACACACAAGGGCAGGAAAGAAAAATTGCTTCCTCTGTTGCCTCCTTTTTCCCCTGCAGCCAGTCTCCCTTCTGTAGGAAACCAAGGCTTGAGGCCCGTTTCAGGCCAGTGTTTCTGTCCTGGGGATCCTCTTATGCCAGCAGTAAGGAGAGAAGGATGGCAAAGAGCCCACTGGCGTTAAATCGTGGCTTGACCACCTCCGTGGGCCCTGGTCTCATCTCTGTAAAATAGGGGTGATGATAATAGCTAATAATAATGGTAGTTGTACCTCACAGAGAGTAAAAGATTAATAAGTGTTAACTTTATTTATTTATTTATTTTTTTGAGACAGAGTCTTACTCTGTTGCCCAGGCTAGAGTGCCGTGGCGTCTGCCTAACTCACAGCAACCTCAAACTCCTGGGCTCAAGCAATCCTAAAAAAAAAAAACCAAACAAGCCATCAATACAACACATATAACTAAAACAATAGCACATCACCAAAAGTTCACTATAGCATGCAAACAATAAAAACAACACATAACACACATAGAAGACCACACCAAACACACTCACCCTCCCTAATAACCAAAACTCTCACCCACAACCCCCGCATTATATGAAAAGAGTATATAAGGGCTTTAATTTGTAGATACTGCACATTCTGCTTTTCCACAGGAAATGGTTATACTCAAAACAAATCGGACATCTCTTTGGAGGGCAATGCTTGCAATCCTTCCAGAAGTCCTCTTGCAGGCACATTTCCACAAGGACACAGAGATTTAGATCCAGGTCATTCATTACAAACATGGGAACAGCCTATTCCCCATCTACATGGGGACAGGCTAATAAATCATAATTATCTACACAAAGGAATATTTTTAAAAGAAAGTCAGTGTCGAACACCGAATTTTGGCCGGCGCGGTGGCTCACGCCTGTAATCCTAGCTCTCTGGGAGGCCGAGGCGGGAGATTGCTCGAAGGTCAGGAGTTCAAACCAGCCTGAGCAAGAGAGACCCTCTCCTACTATAAATAAAGAAATTAATTGGCCAACTGATATATATATAAAAATTAGCCGGGCATGGTGGTGCATGCCTGTAGTCCCAGCTACTCAGAAGGCTGAGGCAGAGGACG